TGTTACAGTGTAATGATACATTTAAGTACTGAGTAATATTAACTACATGCACTTACTATATGGTTAGGGTTATGATGAGGGTTTGGTTTATGGTTACTTGCATGTAATTATGCATAATTAGTTGTTATTACAATAGTAAGTACATGTAACATGTGTAACAAGGACACCTTAAAATAAAGTGTTACCTAATATAGTTATAGTTCTTGGTGTATATGGGCCTTAACTATAACAATAAAGGTAAAAATTTATTTTAAAAATTAATTCTGTGAGAATTTTAAATTTAAAACTGGTAACACTTTATTTTAAGGTGTCCTTGTTATATATGTTACATGTACTTACTATTATAATAACAATTAATTATGCATAATTACATGCAAGTAACCCTAATCCTAACCCTAACCATGTAGTAAGTACATGTAGTTAATTAATATTACTCAGTACTTATATGTATAATTACACTGGAACAAGGACACCTTAAAATAAAGTGTAACCTTCAAACTTTATTTCTGTGAGAATAGGTAAGGACACACTACAGCTACACTTCCTGGCCAAAAAGAAAAGTCTCATTAGACTGCATTTAGCTTTGATTACAGTGTATACTCATTGTGGCGCTGTTCCAACAACCATTTATTTTCACCAAGAGTTGCATTAATTGCTGTATTGACAATGGCAGAGTCAAACCCTTCTTCAAAGTCGACTCCATCACATCCCAAAGACTTTCAGTAGGGTTAAGGTCACGACTCTGTGGTGACCAATACATGCATGAAAATGATTTCTCATGCTCCCTGAACCACTCTTTCACAGTAGTGTTAATTTTGTCAACTATTTTCAGCTATTTTAGTCCCGGGCTAAAATGTCCTTGTTAGTTTTTATCATATTTAGTCAACCTTATCCTATTTAGTTTTAGTCAAGTTTTAGTCGACTAAAAGTCTCAACATTTTAGTCGAAGAAAACCTGAAGTATTTTAGTCTAGTTTTAGTCAATGAAAACTTGACATTTTAGCAATAAGATTATTATTAATTAACCGTACAGCAGTATTAATTTTGGCAGCCATTTTTATACATTTTAGTCTCGTCTTATTTCGTCAACGAAATTGCATGTTGATATAGTCTTAGTTATCGTTTATTGACCTTATTGTTGTCTCGTCTTAGTCATGGGAAAAAAGCTCGTCAACGAACATTTTTCGTCATAGTCTTCGTTAACGAAATTAACACTATTTCACAGTCTGAGCGCAGTGAATCTTGGCATTGTCATCCTGAAATATGGACATGAGTTCATCTTCCGACATGATTGTTTAAAGGGGTCATATGATGCGATTTCAAGTTTTTCTTTCTCTTTGGAGTGTTACAAGCTGATTGTGCATAGATAAGATCCCTGAAGTTGCAAAGACTAATAATCACTGCAATAATGATCCATTCGTAGGCTCTTTAGTAGTTGCCATTTTATATCCAAACAGTGATTTTTTGTTGATTAAAAACATTGACAGCCAATCAAAAATCAATCTGATTTTAAAGAAATCAAGCATTTAAAGAGGCAGACGACAAAAGAGCAGTGCAAACTTATAATTAATAGAACGCTATCGTCCGCTGGTGTGGAAGCTAATATTGTTATCATTATAGTTATCTTTCTTGGTGTGAACGGGCCTTAACTATAACAATAAAGTTGTAAAAATAATTCTAATTCTGTGAGAATAGTGAAGTCCACACCACAACTATAACAATAATGACACAGATGAATGATATCTTTGGAATCATTTTCAGAACTTTTTAGATTCCACTCGACTTTAACTCTTTCCCTGCCAGCTTTTTTTTAAGTTGCCAGCTACCGCCAGCATTTTTGATCATTTTCTTTGATCATTTTGTTGTATGAATATCTGAACATGCAATATGTCAAAAGAAAGAACAGAACCTCTGTTTTTAAACAAACAAGCAAACATGCATTCTTTTTTTATCAACACTTGAATATGGGCAAGTTTCATGAAAAACAATTTTTTTTTTGAACAAAAAGCTGAGGAAATCACGTTTTTGTCAAAGACTACATCTGGATAGGAGTCAGAATGATGATCAAAACATAGATGGAGTAGATCATGTCCATTAACACCCTCAAAGCTTGCACAGTCCTTAACCACTTCCTGGGTTGTCATTTTATTTTGGTAACGTTAGGTAGTTTTGATTTATATGCTGTTTGATGATTATTACATATGCATCTGCTTACATATATGATGGCTTGTTTCTGCTTCTCCTTCGCCATGCTTTGATCCAGACGTTCAGTACTCTTTCAGAAGATGTGTAATAGCGCCTCCTACCGTAGAAATACCAATTTGCACCCCCGAACGATCAGGGGGCGGGCCTAGATTCGAGGCTTGTCCAAAAAATCCTCTATTGTGTGGTGTCGTTACGATTATTCATGTCGTAAGTCTGTGTGGGCCCCTGTGAGTTACCTTGGGGCCTCATAGGGAATTTATTGGAGAAGATGTCCCCTGCTAACACAGTCAGCACCTGAAGGATTTCTCTGTGTGTGTGTGTGTGTGTGAGAGTTTTGGGGAACACAGATGGAGGGTGTTTACAGGGGTGCAGAGGGACAGGAGAGATGACAGACGAGACTTGTTTAGACTGTAATCAGACTGGATTGAACTGTGTGTTTGGAGACAGACTGCAGAAACGTACATGACAAACACACACACACACACTCTGATTGATTGTGATCATACGGAGGGTACCATCTTTATTTTGACTTTAAGGGTTTTTAATCGACACATTAAATTATATTGATAAGACAGAACAGTCTAGGGACTGAAAATGGTCCATAAAATGAGTTGATTTAATACATATTTTATTTCTAAAATATAATAATTTTAATTTTAATTACGTATTCTATTCCAATAAAATCCAATTTTATATATATATTGTAAGGGGTGAAGAATCACACGACAAGGAAATCTTAATAAATACCCCGGAGGGTGGATTTATTAGTGAGGTGGGTATATATATATATAATAGATATTAAATAATGCAGTACTTCATTAGTTTTCTCAACATAATTTATTAAAAATTTTATGAAAAAAAATTGTTTAAATTGCTTTAACATTATTGAAGACATGTGTTCAGACATATGTGTTTTCAATTACTGTATGAGGAAAAAAATAAACAAATATTCAAAATTAATGATGTAATTATTTATGTTTGGTTGCAAAAATGATGTTGAACTAATGCAATTCCTCTGTGTTGTGACTCTGAATTTGGAGCCAGTTCTTAAAATTCTTCTGAATTTTGTCCAGCCCTCGCACACACACACACACACACACACACACGCACACACACGCACACAGACACACACACACACGAATAGCAGGGCTGTTAATTCAGGCTTGTCAGTGAAAGTCTGTGTCACTGATGAAAGCATGCCGGGCGGCTCCTCTGACCGCATGCCAAACTCTGCTGCTCTTTAGTAGTCAGCCTCACACACTCACCCTAGCAGACACTCCCAGTGCTCAGGTACAAAATTAGTCTAACTTTTGATACCTGGTACATTTTGTTTTGAAGCTTCAAACACTTGTAAATAGTTCCCCATTTAATGATCAGGGAGGGAAAAAAGCTTTTCAGGAGCTCGCTGTGATTTTATAACCTCCTTAACTTCCATAAATTGTTTATAAGTGTGTCGCCAGGCTGTTCTGAGAAAGCCGTCGGCCTAGCATTAGCAGGGTAAACACATGGTAGCCTACTTCAAATTGGTCTGAACGATTCAGGATTTGGTTCATGTGCTGCAGTTAATCTTCCTCAATAAACCACCAAGGCAAAGAATTTCAGCTCTAACAGACCGGAGCTGCTTTCTCCTCTGTGGGCTTCTTACTGTCTCACAATGAACTTCTGACACACTAACAGTTAAATTTCCTCTTAATTTGTCCATGCTGTAGTCTTTTATCTTCCATTAGTTTGGGGGATGTCAGAGATGGATAGCAGCTGGCAGGTTTCGAGGTTCATTTTATCAGGATGATTATTTGATGTCAGTCTATATTTTTTTTAGTCAGTGGCTGATATATATATAAATAATGTTTTTGAAGTTGTAAATAAAACAAAGATTATTGGAGTATGTTTATGAGAACATATTTGCCTTTCTACTTGAAAATTTGTCTACTTCAAAATAATATTCAATTTAATGTGTTACTTGCTGTTTCTTTGCAGTTGTTTGTGAAATTTACTAGCAATTTCAGAGTGAAAATTTTTTCACCAATATTTTTTCAGTATATACATACATGTGTGTGTGTGTATATATATATATATATATATAACACACACACACACAAACACACGTTATTTGAAAAGATGAAAATAAAGTATGGAAATTTGGAACACAAATTTAAAAATAGGCTTAGCTCATGAATATTAATTAGGTCACATTGATGTGATGTTGCTTGGTAACCTACCATAAAGAGATAGTTCACCCCAAAATTAAAATTGTCATAATTTACTCACCCTCATGTCATTCCAAACCTGTATGATTTTTTTTTCCAAACCTGTATCTTTTCTGTGTAACATGAAGTTGTTTTGAAGAGTGTTGGTAACCAAACAATTTTGGTTCCCATTGACTTCCATTGTGTTTTTTGTCCATATAATGGAAATCAATGGGAACGGAAAAAGTTTGGTTACCAATATTCTTCAAAATGTCTTCTTTTATGTTCCACAGAAGAAAAAAAAAGTCTTAAGTGTCCAGTGAAGTAACCTAGTTAACATTCAAAAAGTCATTGACAGACTTCATGTCTATTATCAACTAGAACCAGAATTGTTAAATTGTATATTTCTAGTGAACCTTTCTACCTCAGTTAACATGTGTACAGCATTTCAGCTTGAACTTTATGTGCAATAGTTGAACACTGATATTATTTGATAGCATCTTTTGTATACTTACATTATGCTGTCGTAAAAATGTTACATGCAGGCCCTCAAATGATGTCCACAGTGCTTTTATAAGTTTAATGTGGTTGTTGTGGTCTTGTTTTACAGGGAGTAGCGAGCCAGACGCAGAGTGCTTACTTCCTCCCTGAATTTGCACTTTCTCCACAAGGAAGCTTTCTGGAAGACACAACAGGAGAGCAGTATCTCACTTACCGCTATGATGACCAGGTCAGAGACACAGCATCACATGCACAGTTACCTCTGAATATTCAACTGAATTCTGTCTGCTCAGATGAGTTTTTATTAATTAAACCCGAGTCATACTTGCCACTTCCTTTTGTGGTGATTTAATTGCGCATTGTAAAACTGCTGCTCTGAGAAATGATCATGGTTCATTAGCTTTAATACAAATAGTCTTTGTTCTAAAACCTAGTGAACTGCCTTGTTGTCTACTATCATTTGGTATATATAAACAGCATATATTGGGTACATATATTTTTAATGATGTATATGCTTCTTTCCATTTTGGAACAGTCGTTATGTCGAAAGCGCATATGATGCCTTAAAATGCTGTCTAGGTAGGCAGCTCACTAGGTTTGGATCAGATCTATAGATTTGTCTTTCGTGTTGCATGAGTTCTCTGTAGAAAAGTGAAGTGGGCATATGATTGAATGAGTCAGTGATTAATTTGACAGGATGGCACAAGTCAAACATGAATAATGTCTGTCTGTGCATTTCTGAGCTCCACTGAGAGGAAAACAGCATAATGACAACAGTGCTACATTTTATTTAATTTTATTGTATTGTGTGCTATGAGTAACCTAATATTTCATATGATATAACCTTGATTGTCAAGTTCAGCAAATTCTGATAATGAAGTATTCAATTTGAAGAATTTTAATTAATTTAAAATTTGATTTTAATTTCATTTTCCTTGGCAGGTTCAAATTTTTTTTAAATTGAAAACAAAATGGTTTAAATCGATTTATGAAAGTCTATTTTATATCTATATGAAACATACATTTTTATACACCGCTGTTCAAAAGTTTGGGGTCAGTAAGATTTTTAAAAAGGAATTAATACTTTTATTCAGCAAGGATGCATTAAATTGATCAAAAGTGGCAGTAAAGAGATTTCTAATGTTACAAACTATTTCTCTTTCAAATAAATGCTGTTTTTTAAACTTTCTATTCATTAAAAAAATCCTGAAAATCTTGGTTTTATTACGGTTTCAAAAATATTCAGCAGCACAACTGTTTTCAACATTGACAATAACAAGAAATGTTTCTTGAGCAGCAAATCAGCATATTTGCAAGAGTGGCGTAATGATTCTGAAAATTCAGCTTTTCATCACAGAAATTAATTACATTTGAAACTATATTCAAATAAAAACTATTGTTTTAAATTGTAATAATGTTCCACAATATTACAGTTTTTACTATATTTTGGATCAAATAAATGCAGCCTTGGTGAGCATAAGAGACTTTAAAAAAAAAAAAAACATCTTACTGACCCCAACAATAATGGATTTAATTTTTATATTAAGCAGTATTTTTATTAATTTTTTTAGCTTTCTTGACCAATCAGAATCCATGAACTGTCCGTTTTGAAATAGTGAGAGTGTTAAAGGGGTCATATGACGTTGCTAAAAAGAACATTATTTTGTGTATTTGGTGTAATTAAATGTGTTTATGCGGTTTAAGGTTAAAAAAACGGAGCACAAGACCTGTCGATAATGTAGTTTTTGATTTGTCCAATTTTGAATGTTCATAGCTCACAGAAATAATGTAACCTTCAGTGACAGGCAGTGTGTTAGCGGTGGTTCTTCTTTGCTGTTGGACTGTTTCCTCTCGGCACGATCAGTTAAGACTTTCAGATCAGCCCTTCGGCTTAAGGGGAATTTAAACCAGGCCATTTCGGTAAACCCTCTGTAACAGGAAAGTCCAAGTAAACCCGAAGTTTATAGGCATTATAAAGCTCTGCCTGACTGTTTTCTTTTGAATGCTTGCCCTGGGAGCCATTAACCCAGACACACTGTGTGCCATCAAACTGTTTTGGGGCCTGTTATGGAAACCTTGGTTCACGTCAGTCCAGCACTGATGTCTGTTTCCAGGCCAGTTGTTATGTTTGTGACGTGTTGGCATGCATGTCAGGGATGGCTTATATTATGGTGATTTAATACAGGAATGTGGTGGTGGCACGGCAACCACGCAAACACATGTTGCTTCCTGTTGTTATGACAGACTTCCAAGCATTTCTGCTCATATGAGCTCGTACTAATGCACTGCTGTTGTATGTCAATGCTGATAGGTGTGTGCATGCAAAAATACTCATTGGCTGTGTTTGCAATAGCATTTTACCATACTGCTCATACTTTTGCTGCAGTATATAGTATGTGAACTTGTATTATTCAATTTCCAATTTATCAATTTGGCATGGATTTTAATAGTTTTTACTATTGTTAGTATTAGTTTGGTTTGAGTTTTTTCCACAGATTTTTCTTTCATTCTTTCATTTCAGGGCTGCTAAAATTAATGCGCTGTTTGGATCATTTAAAAATGTTTTACGCTGTTGCATTGCAGTTGGGTTGTGAACGTTTCAAGTTTTAGAATATAATATGCATCAAAAGCAAAAATTAATTTGTAGCCATTTTACTTTTGGAAATATGAACATGATGTATGTTAGTTTAGTTTCAGGTTTTCCGGTTATTGCAGTTAAATTTTTTTTTTTTTTAGTTTTTGTAATGTTTTAACATTGGTGAATGTATTATCATTATTTTGTGATTAATTATTTGATCAGACATGAAGTGTCACACAAAATTAAATTGAAAATGTGCATTTTTTGATTTCTAAAGTGATAATTAGACTCCTTTTGCTCAATTAAACAACTCAGTGAGGTCTTTTGACAACAGGTAACATCATATATTTTTATAATTTTAGTATTGTTTATACAATATTATAATATTCATATTTTTTATTTTTATATTTTCAGTTTTCATTTTCATTTGAGTTTTTTTGTACTTTTTATTCATTTATTTTTGTTTTGCTTTAATTTATTTAAATTTTTTGTTTTTTTGTACTTCAACTTAAATACATTTATTTTAGTTGGTTGCCAAAAAAAACATTTTTATTTTTCATTTAAGTTTTTCATCTAATATTTATAATTGCTTACTGAAAAAAGGGTCCCATTTCTGTCTGAAAAGTATATACAGTTCCCAATGATTTCAACGGTTTGCATTCTTAGGTAGACACAGAAAATGGCCTTACTGAAAAAAGGGTCCCATTTCTGTTCATTATGGTAGAAAAAATTTTTTTTTATACTGAATGACATTTCATATTTAGGATGTGTCAAATGATGTGAAACCTTCCCAGTCATCCTGTCTGCAAGGTAAAGGCCTGGTCTTACAAAAGAAAATGCCACTGGCCCAAGTGCCGCTCCTTGCGTGCTGTTTCTCTCCAGTAAGTCGTCTCTCTTGCCAGAAAGAGGGTGGATACCATCCAGGCCTGTGCCTGCTGAGGTTAGCCACAGATGGAGGGCTTTCCCCTAATTTATAATTGCTTACTGAAAAAAGGGTCCCATTTCTGTTCATTATGGTAGAAAATTTTTTTTTTTATACTGAATGACATTTCATATTTAGGATGTGTCAAATGATGTGAAACCTTCCCAGTCATCCTGTCTGCAAGGTAAAGGCCTGGTCTTACAAAAGAAAATGCCACTGGCCCAAGTGCCGCTCCTTGCGTGCTGTTTCTCTCCAGTAAGTCGTCTCTCTTGCCAGAAAGAGGGTGGATACCATCCAGGCCTGTGCCTGCTGAGGTTAGCCACAGATGGAGGGCTTTCCCCTACAGACACAGGCTTAAACTAATAGATAATGCACATGTTCCCTTTGGGCATCTCCCCGGCCAGCCGAAGCGCCCGACAGACAAGCCCATAGTATAAAGCAGCTTTCCTCAGAGAGCCCCGTAAAGCATATCTAATGGCTTTTTGTGTTGCGCTACCTGCTTGAGACTTTGAGTTTAGCCAGCTGGAGTTTTTGGCTCTGAGCAGCACGCTAGTGCCAGTGTTTCCACTTACAGCCAATCCAGTACTTTCTAAAATAAGTTCTCGTTTGAAAAGACGTGACACTGTGCAGGCAGAAGGTGGATTTTTAATGGATGGGTTCGGATTGTGTTGATTAAATTGGGTCAAGGAGCAAGCTAGGGTCAGGGCGATTTGAACGTCTGGGTTTGAGAAGGTGTTCACCATGGAAAAGCAAGTGCCAGGTTTCATCTTTGAGGTCTTTGATGGGGTATTTGTAAAACTGACCCCCATCTGTGGCTTGCCGAGGTATTGGGATGGAGATTTTAATTGGGAGAGTCAGGCTCAGCAGGACTAAAGGAACCAGAACTTGCATGCTAACTATATCTGAAGTGACCAGTAATGAAGAAAGCAGGAGGGTGTTGAATTTGAGCCGTAAGATATGAGACGCCTTTAATATTTGGTTTATGCTGTATGTGTCTGCGTAGTTAGATGGTTAAGAGGTGTTTTGTATCATAGCTGTTACTGTATTGTGTGTTACCACAAATGGAAACTATATACAATTAGCACAAGGCTGTAACAATATGTATTGTAATTGACATTTTTAGCATGTCGATGTGTAGATTAGACATAGACATGGACCATTAAAGGAATAGTTCACCCAAAAAGAGCATTTGCTGAAAATATACTCACCATCATGCCATTCAGATGTCATCCAGTTTGTTTCTTCATCTGAACAGATTTGGAGAAATGTAGCATTACATCACTTGCTCACCAATGGATCCAAACAGCTGATAAAAACATCACAATAATCCACAAGTAATCCTCACCACTCCAGTCCATCAATTAATACCTTGTGAAGTGAAAACCTGCATGTTTGTAAGAAACAAATCTATCATTTAAGGCATTTTAACTTTAAACCGTTGCTTCTGGCCAAAATACCAGTCCATAATCAAAAATAACTCTTCCTCCAGTGTAAAAGTCCATCTCCTGTTGTCTCTCACATTAAAATCCACACACATATTTGTTTAGAACTGTTTTGGACTGTTTTCACTTGCAAACGGTGATTGATTTGTGCAAATTTCTCTCCTGATTCAGATGAGACGACCTTTTCACTAGATAAATCAGTATTATGGATGGAAGAATTGCATTTTAGCAATGGTTTTAAGTTAATGCTAATCCCATGTGATGGACAGACACATTGTGGGTCCTCA